GGCCAGGAAGTGATGGAAGGGAAGGAAATAAAACCCAGAGAACAGCAGATGAGGCCCATAGGTGAGCACAGACAAACACACATGTGAAAGGGATCAGGAACAGCACTGCATCAAGGAGGTAAGAATACACAAACAAGAAACTGCAGGCTAACTTGTGACACAGAGTCCCTTAAGCATGCAGATCAACTCTTCATCACCCCCACCCACTACCTTCTAGAAACTTCTCAAGCTTCCAGAGCAGGGGAAGGTATCTGGGAACTGACCTGCAGAGCCCTCAGCCCTGACCTAGAGTAACCTGACTGACTCATCCCAGGATGCTACTCAACCTCAGCCTCAAAAACAAACTAGCTCCACCAAGCTAAACTTGAGGGGCACTACATTTTGTGTAATCTAAATGATAAAAAAATAAATAAATCTATGCTCTTGATAATTATATTCAGTCACCATAAAATTTACTATAGGATTGATAAAGCACAAGATAATGGGTTTGATGCAAAGCAGATTGCTACTTATCTAGTAATAGTAATAGTCCTGGCAATATGCAGGACCCCTGGCAATGGAGTAACATATAATACTCATACTGCCTCCTGATATTAAGTGGCTGGTGACTCAGATGATTGGTTCCCAAATAAAAATGGAAAAAAAGGCCCACATCCTTTGAATGCAGCAACAAGCACTTCCAATAATCAAATACTTTTGTCAATCCCTTAGAACACACCGCCAAACTGATGCAAATACTGCACGCATAGGACGCATTAACTGTGATGACTAATGAAGGAGAGCCTTTAGCCAGATACAGTCTGATATCTGAACTGGAAAGGCTTGCAGATATACTGTATATTAGGCAACCCCCCCACCCAAAAAGAAAACAAACAAACCGACAGTGTGGTATTACCTTATTAAATTCTCATCCTAATTGCATTGTGTCAGCAATTATATGACCTGTCCGTTCCTTTTGATCTCTTGACCATAACCTGGAATTTGACAGGTTTTCATGTTTCATTACTAAAATTAGAAATCTGTGTCTTGACAATAATTGCATTTTTGCCAGATGATCTGCGGGTAGGAAAGAAAGACTATTACCCGCTGCTACAATGTCATCAGTACTAATTTTATTTCTCATAATCCTTTCATATTCTAGTCATATGGGATCCATATTTTGTTACCTAATAAAAATGTAATATTGTTATGCAGCAATATAAATGGGATGTTTGTTACACTTGACAAGGCAGCTATTTATGTCCCCAGACGGCCATGTCAGTGTTAGAGCTGAGGAACGTCAACATACTGAAGATGACTCAAATCAAATTTCTATGATTCAAATACTTTGCAGCAGTTAACAATCGTACACCCAGGATCGTTCATTTTAATCACTTTTGCCTTTTTCAGTTTGACAGGTGTCAGCTTATTTATTAATATAAAAAGTAATGATAGGCAGCAAACCCAAGCAACCACTCAGTATCATCATTCAGAAGTCTAGTGGAGAGTTTTCTGATTGGTTGAAAGGTGCATCAATCTGTGTAGCATAGCGTAACAGGGAAATTCCATGCTAACTTATCAAAGTGTGGATTTGGAATACAGGGAAAAAAGGGTCAATTGTTTAAATCAAGCTTGCACCAATGTCCCTGACCCAATTGTAGCAATTGGGTGCAGAGAGAAGTATGGGGGTGGCCAATAATGACCTTCATTTTAGAATGCTGCCTGTTTGGCTATGGCATCAATGCTTTGAGTAACTGAATGAAGTCAGAAGTAGGAATGAAGTTTCATTTTCTGGAGAATCCCTGGAATTTGCAAAGTTAGCCAAACAGTTTGTAGGTTCACAGCCTATTTGGGGATAGAGGAGCGCCTGGTGTCCAGAGTAATATCACATTCGTTGGAAAGATTCTAATCTTTTATTCAAAGTAATAAATATACAAGTTGACCCAACGAGTTTTGGGGGAACTGTCTCCCCCTTCTTTAGGGCAATTAGATAAAGTTCAGAGTTCTTATGGTGTGAGTTCCTCCAGGGGGTAGCCAGCACCTAAATAAACAAAGGCCATCCTATAATGGTCTTTTCCTTGGCCAATTGAGTCACAAGAGCCAAAAAGAAGGAATGGATAACCCAGCTCTGATTGAATTGTTAGGAAGAGCTGACAATTCTGTGTAGGAAGAGATACTGCTTTCATTATTTATTTATTAACGTTGGCATTTTATGTGTCTCCCATGGTAGTGCTAGCTTCCCATGTCTTTTCCTTGACAACAGCTTGCTTGTTAGTCCTACAAATTGCCAGAATGAAATATTAAAATTTGGCCCCCCATAGACTTCAATGGGGTTCACAAAATCCACAAAACTGTTCAAGAACCAAACCCTGACAAATTTGGTCATCCCTAGTTAGAACCTTTGATATAAATAGTTGCTTCAGACAGGGATAGAGCAATTGCTGTATAGGGAAAAATATGATCCTTACTGAATTACATCTATAGAGTGATATATGGTGGCTGTATACTCCATTTTATATATATTTATTGCATATACATACAGTTTGTGGGGAATACAGTATCCGTCCTTCCTGCATTAAGTCCTTCCCTTGACAGATCTAGAGGCAGTTGCAAGTTCTCTTTGCTCTGTACTGCTTCACCACAGGTAAATAGCCACTAACACCATGATTGATGATCACTGTAAGGGGCCCATCTGCTTCCACTCACCACCAATGTAAGGGGGCAATATTAGCTACCCACCAATGTAAGGAAGCCTTATCCATTACCCACAAATGTAAGGAAGTGTTTATTCATTGACCACCAATGTAAGGAGGCCCTTATCGATTGAATGACAATTTAAGCAGCTCCTACATCTTCCACTAACTATCCACTGAGGTCAGTAGGCCATTTTTTTAAATTAACTTTAAATTTAACTGAACATTTTTCTGCCACTGATCCTCAATGTGTGGGGGCCCTTCTTTACAGGCCACTAATGTAAAGAGGTTCTTGTACTCCCACTGACCAGCCACCAATGTATGGAGTCCCTTCTTTTACTGATAATCATGTAAGGGCAGGGCTATCTTAAATGCATCATGGGCCCCTGGGCAAAGCAATACACTGGGGCCCCTACCAGCCTGCCCCAATTTACGCACCTACTCTCAAGAATTGATCGAATTAAATGTATACTTATTAGTACTTTTAGTAAAATCAATTTTAAACAATAAGAGAACATGCCATAAATCAGAGATTAATCGACACAAAAGGGGACAGTACAGGGAGGGGGCAGAAGGGCACAGTGCGATGGGGGGGGGGGGGGGGGGGGGGTCAGGAGGGCACAATACTGGGTTTCTGGAACATGGCCCGAGACATGGCCAACCCAGGACAGGTTAGTTAAAAGCATGACTGTCCTAGCAAATCCAGGACAGTTGGCAAGTATAATGCAATGCAAAATTATCATAGGACCCCTGAGCAGTGCCCATTCATTAAGACAGCCCTGTGTAAGGGGCCCCTAATGTAAGAGCACTACACTACCTGTCAACGTAAGGAGGCATGCCTCTCACTGATCATCAGTGTAAGGGGGAGATTCACATTGACCAGCAATGTAACATGAGCATTTAGACCTCCAAGATAATGGGGCACTTACACTGACTACTGATATACAGGGTGGATTCACACTGAAGGGGGGTGCTGTTCACTGACCAATGTAAAAGGGGTGAAAATAGGTCACAAATAGGTCAAAAAAAGTATGTTATTAGGGATACAAAATTAGTTATTTCACTGGAAATGATGGGAGACATGCTTTGTAGAAGGGCCATTCCAAATGTTGCCATCAGGTCTTGTGATTAGTAGATATATCTATTGTTTCAGGCCAGGTGACTCAAAAAGTATGAAAGCTATTGCATCAGCATGATGGTCAGGTAGCTAGCAATTTCAGAAGGACTGGTTAGCAGTGATGGACTCGATATTCTCTAATTACAGGTTTCAGTAAGAATGCCAAATAAATTAATCCTTCCTGTAAGGTAATGCATTATGTTATATGCTCACATAGTTAAAATGTCATTAAACCCAAATCATCAAAAATGGTCAATACTGTCTTTTTGTCTGGGTCCCAACTGCAGCCTGAGATTGTGTACATCAGCTGTTGACATCTACTGAGCATGCTCCAGTTTCAGTCCCCTTCTAAGTTGTTCATTTTGCTCCTTTATCGTATCTGTGCAGCTCATGTCACACATATGGGCATATATACACTGGTAAATGACACTCCCCTTTCTTCCCTCCTCCAGGTCCTCGTATTGCTAAACACTATGGGGGGGGGGCGAGATATAAGATGTTGATTGACGGAGGCTTCACCTCCCTGTTAGTCTCAGCACATACACACCATAAATACAGGCAAAAGGGGTGTGACACAGCTTGTGATTGGCAGAACCTCCTCCAGATCTCTTTACAGTGTGAACAATGCGAAATCTATTGTCAGTCAACCTAAACTCCACCTACACAATGTTATTGCAAAAAAATAATAAACATTTGCTTGGAAATATACATTTCTATGAAGTTTTAAAACACTGTTTCTATTCATTACCATATTTTTCACTCCATAAGATGCACTTTTTTCCCCCAAAAAATTAGAGAAAATGCCTGTGCCTCTTATGGAGTGAATATGGAGTGGCCGGCCCAGTATTCTCTCCACCGCTGCCGCTGTGTTAGAATACCGGGCCGACCACTCGGCTCTGTGCAGCAGAACCTGCAGACCTCCAGCAGTCCTACTTGGTCCTTGGTCCAGCAGTGCCTTCACCATCTTCACTCCCTGGCACCGGCATCTTTAGTGTGGGTACCCGGCTGTGACAGCTTGCGGTTTCACAGCTGGGTGCCCACTGCGCATGTACGTGAGGCGCTGCGCTTTGTGAGGGGTGGCCAGAAGACTGCCGGGAGGGAGAGGGGAAGGACAACTCCGCAGAAGTGGGAGCGAATATATGTCAAATTCGGGTACCTGCTCCGCTCCCCAAAGGTCCGCAGTTTCTGGTCAAATGTACTATGTCCGCAGTCTCTGGTCATCCCCTGTACTATGTCCGCAGTCTCTGGTCATCCCCTGTACTATGTCCGCAGTCTCTGGTCATCTCCTGTAGTATGTCCGCAGCCTCTGGTCATCTTCTGTAGTATGTCCGCAGTCTCTGGCCATCTCCTGTACTGTGTCCGCAGTTTCTGGTCATCTCCTGTACTATGTCTGCAGTCTCTAGTCATCTCCTGTACTATGTCTGCAGTCTCTGGTCATCTCCTGTACTATGTGTGCAATCTCTGGTCATCTCCTGTACAATGTCCGCAGCCTCTGGTCATCTCCTGTACTGTCTGCAGTCTCTGGTCATCTCCTGTAGTATGTCCGCAGCCTCTGGTCATCTCCTGTAGTATGTCTGCAGCCTTTGGTCATCTCCTGTACTATATCCGCAGTCTCTGGTCATCTCCTGTACTATGTCTGCAGTCTCTGGTCATCTCCTGTACTATGTCCGCAGTCTCTGGTCATCTCCTGTACTATGTCCGCAGCCTCTGGTCATCTCCTGTAGTATGTCTGCAGCCTTTGGTCATCTCCTGTACTATATGTCCGCAGTCTCTGGTCATCTCCTGTACTATGTCCGCTGTCTCTGGTCATCTCCTGTACTATGTCTGTAGTCTCTGGTCATCTCCTGTACTATGTCTGCTGTCTCTGGTCATCTCCTGTACTATGTCTGTAGTCTCTGGTCATCTCCTACTGTACTATGTCTGTAGTCTCTGGTCATCTCTCCTACTGTACTATGTCCGTAGTCTCTGCTCATCTCCTGTACTATGTCCGCAGCCTCTGCTCATCTCCTGTACTGTGTCCGCAGCCTCTGGTCATCTCCTGTACTATGTCCACAGTCTTTGGTCATCTCCTGTAGTATGTTCGCAGCCTCTGGTCATCTCCTGTAGTATGTCCGCAGTCTCTGGTCATCTTCTGTACTATGTCCGCAGTCTCTGGTCATCTCCTGTACTATGTCCGCTGTCTCTGGTCATCTCCTACTGTACTATGTCCGTAGTCTCTGGTCATCTCCTGTACTATGTCCGCAGTCTCTGGTCATCTCCTGTACCATGTCCGCAGTCTCTGGTCATCTCCTGTACTGTGTCCGCAGTCTCTGGTCATCTCCTGTACTATGTCCGCAGTCTCTGGTCATCTCCTACTCTACTATGTCTGTAGTCTCTGGTCATCTCCTGTACTATGTCTGCAGTCTCTGTTCATCCCCTGTACTATGTCCGCAGTCTCTGGTTATCTCCTGTACTATGTCTGCAGTATAAGGTCATCTCCTGTACTATGTCCGCAGTCTCTGCTCATCTCCTGTAGTATGTCCGCAGTCTCTGGTCATCTCCTGTACTATGTCCGCAGTCTCTGCTCATCTCCTGTAGTATGTCCGCAGTCTCTGGTCATCTCCTACTGTACTATGTCTGTAGTCTCTGGTCATCTCCTGTACTATGTCTGTAGTCTCTGCTCATCTCCTGTACTATGTCCGCAGCCTCTGGTCATCTCCTGTACTATGTCCACAGTCTCTGGTCATCTCCTGTAGTATGTTCGCAGCCTCTGGTCATCTCCTGTAGTATGTCCGCAGTCTCTGGTCATCTCCTGTACTATGTCCGCAGTCTCTGGTCATCTCCTGTACTATGTCCGCTGTCTCTGGTCATCTCCTACTGTACTATGTCCGTAGTCTCTGGTCATCTCCTGTACCATGTCCGCAGTCTCTGGTCATCTCCTGTACCATGTCCGCAGTCTCTGGTCATCTCCTGTACCATGTCCGCAGTCTCTGGTCATCTCCTGTACTGTGTCCGCAGTCTCTGGTCCTCTCCTGTACTATGTCCGCTGTCTCTGGTCATCTCCTACTGTACTATGTCTGTAGTCTCTGGTCATCTCCTGTACTATGTCTGCAGTCTCTGTTCATCCCCTGTACTATGTCCGCAGTCTCTGGTCATCTCCTACTGTACTATGTCTGTAGTCTCTGGTCATCTCCTGTACTATGTCTGTAGTCTCTGGTCCTCTCCTTCTGTACTATGTCCGCAGTCTCTGGTTATCTCCTGTACTATGTCTGCAGTATAAGGTCATCTCCTGTACTATGTCCGCAGTCTCTGCTCATCTCCTGTAGTATGTCCGCAGTCTCTGGTCATCTCCTGTACTATGTCCGCAGTCTCTGCTCATCTCCTGTAGTATGTCCGCAGTCTCTGGTCATCTCCTGTACTATGTCCGCTGTCTCTGGTCATCTCCTGTACCATGTCCGCAGTCTCTGGTCATCTCCTGTACTGTGTCCGCAGTCTCTGGTCATCTCCTGTACTATGTCCGCTGTCTCTGGTCATCTCCTACTGTACTATGTCTGTAGTCTCTGGTCATCTCCTGTACTATGTCTGCAGTCTCTGTTCATCCCCTGTACTATGTCCGCAGTCTCTGGTTATCTCCTGTACTATGTCTGCAGTATAAGGTCATCTCCTGTACTATGTCCGCAGTCTCTGCTCATCTCCTGTAGTATGTCCGCAGTCTCTGGTCATCTCCTGTACTATGTCCGCAGTCTCTGCTCATCTCCTGTAGTATGTCCGCAGTCTCTGGTCATCTCCTACTGTACTATGTCTGTAGTCTCTGGTCATCTCCTGTACTATGTCTGTAGTCTCTGCTCATCTCCTGTACTATGTCCGCAGCCTCTGGTCATCTCCTGTACTGTGTCCGCAGCCTCTGGTCATCTCCTGTACTATGTCCACAGTCTCTGGTCATCTCCTGTAGTATGTTCGCAGCCTCTGGTCATCTCCTGTAGTATGTCCGCAGTCTCTGGTCATCTCCTGTACTATGTCCGCAGTCTCTGGTCATCTCCTGTACTATGTCCGCTGTCTCTGGTCATCTCCTACTGTACTATGTCCGTAGTCTCTGGTCATCTCCTGTACCATGTCCGCAGTCTCTGGTCATCTGCTGTACCATGTCCGCAGTCTCTGGTCATCTCCTGTACCATGTCCGCAGTCTCTGGTCATCTCCTGTACTGTGTCCGCAGTCTCTGGTCCTCTCCTGTACTATGTCCGCTGTGTCTCTGGTCATCTCCTACTGTACTATGTCTGTAGTCTCTGGTCATCTCCTGTACTATGTCTGCAGTCTCTGTTCATCCCCTGTACTATGTCCGCAGTCTCTGGTCATCTCCTACTGTACTATGGCTGTAGTCTCTGGTCATCTCCTGTACTATGTCTGTAGTCTCTGGTCCTCTCCTTCTGTACTATGTCCGCAGTCTCTGGTTATCTCCTGTACTATGTCTGCAGTATAAGGTCATCTCCTGTACTATGTCCGCAGTCTCTGCTCATCTCCTGTAGTATGTCCGCAGTCTCTGGTCATCTCCTGTACTATGTCCGCAGTCTCTGCTCATCTCCTGTAGTATGTCCGCAGTCTCTGGTCATCTCCTGTACTATGTCCGCTGTCTCTGGTCATCTCCTACTGTACTATGTCTGTAGTCTCTGGTCCTCTCCTTCTGTACTATGTCTGTAGTCTCTGCTCATCTCCTGTAGTATGTCCGCAGTCTCTGGTCAAGACTTGAAAAAGTCATGTGACCTCTGAACAGCAATGATTAAAGCTACTGAGATTATTTTGTTCATTAAATTAAATATAATGGCATGATCTTTTTACATAAATAGAGGGGATAATAGCAATTAAATATTGAATGTTTAGTATCACTTTAACTTACTGATTATGTTAATTATTCATATTTATTTCACATTGTTCATTGTGTGAAATGTATCAGTAATTTCTATTAGGGTCAATATGCTAACCAGCATGAGTTAATTTTCTCAGCAAAATGTTCTGTTCACAATGATAAATATTGAATGGGTTTGACACTGTTATGTTTTCACATTCAAATTTTATTTAAAACAGAACTTTACCCATAAAAAGTGAAATAGCATAAAGTGTATCTAAACCCAATAAAAAAAAAAAGAAGATATTGTGGCTTATCAGTCCCTAGATGAGGTGGCTGCATTATTTTCTTTGATTTCATCTGGTAATCCACTATTTTATTTGGTCAATGAAAATCTCACTTTTTAAATTTCCTCTGATGCTTTGCGCCATCTATTGGCCAAATGAGGAATTTTCCCTTTTAAATCAGTGAAAATCATTTGTCCAGCACAGAAAATAGCCTAATAACATTTGTTTTTGTACATTTTTGCACTTTTACAGGGTGAGTTTAAATACAAGCTCTTTATAAATGCACCCCCAGACAACCTGCAGTAATAAAAACCCTGCATGTGTTATTCTTTCCAGAATTAAGTTTGTTGTGTCATTCCTTGCAATGGTGTAACATTGCTCTCCAAGGAGGCAGGAAGGCTTGTGGCTTTCACAGTTCTAGTCTGCATAGGGAGGAAGAAAGTAGGAATCCAGACCAAACTGTTTTGGGTCATCTCCCCTCTGTAAATGATAACTGCGCAAGTATAGCTATCCTTTAAATTTACTCTTCATGGTAACCCCAGGATTGATTTAAAAATAATTTACAAAACATCAGATTTATCGGTATTTAAAAATACGTAAAAAGTGTAACCTATTTGATGCTTTAGATTAAAAACATTTATCCATTTTCCATTCTATCTGGTCTTTGATGCTGAGATGCCCCTGACCTCCTGCTCAATAACCGAAAGTAAAATACATTCCAGAAAGAGACAGGGATAACAATAAACATCTAATTGAACTTCCAGCCCCTCTCCGTAGTGATCTACAGTTGCAAGAAAAGGTATGTGAACCCCTTGGGATTACGTGGAGTTTTGCATGAATTGGGCATAAAATGTGCTCTTAATGTCATCAAAGTCACAACAATAGAAGAACACAGTCTGCTGAACATAATACTACACAAACATTAGATGTTGCCATGGTTTAATTGCACATAACATGTAAACATTCACAGTGCAGGGAGGAAAAAGTATGTGAACCTTTGGACTTAATAACTGGTTGACCCTCCTTTGGCAGCAATAACCTCAACCAAACGTTTCCTGTAGTTGCAGATCAGACCTGCACAACGATCTGGAGTCATTTTGGACCACTCCTCTTCACAAAACTACTCCTGTTTCAGTGTAGCAATATTCTTGGGATGTCTGGTGTGAATCGCTCTCTTAAGGTCATGCCACAGCATTTCAATCGGGTTGAGGTCAGGACTCTGACTGGGCCACTCCAGAAGGTGTATTCTGTGCTGTTGCAGCCATTGTTTTGTTGAATTACTTGTATGCTTTGGGTCATTGTCCTGTTGCATCACCCATCCTCTGTGGAACTTCAGTTGGCGGACAGATGGTCGTACGTTTTCCTGCAAAATGTCTTGATAAACTCTGGAATTCATTTTCCCATCAATAACAACAATCTGTCCAGGCCCTGAGGCAGCAAAGCAGCCCCAAACCATGATGCTCCCTCCGCCATGTTTTACA